CTAGGTGAACTGCCAGTGGTTCATCAACCCGGTTATGGCCCCGAATATCGGCTTTTCGTCCTCTCACTTTGGTGCAAAATCACCGCCACGAGAAGGCAGTGAGTAGGACTTCTTCAGCAGAGGCTATTTGAAACGCTTGGTCGTATGGGAGCATTTCGAGAGGTGCAAGGGAAGGGTGACCAGCCGCAACCCTAGACACCCACCCTTGACCATACCGAGGATTTCGGAGTCGTTAGGCTTACCCATAGAAGACTCCGACATCAGCTTAATCGATGATTTGAGGTGCTGGGATTGCTGAGTATGATAAAGGGCACTGCTCGTCTATCTTCTCACTATCTGAGCACATCAAGTTTACCTGCGTTCGGTACTTTTTACTTTTTCCACTCTACCCCGCCCCCCCCCCCCCCCCCNTGTTCGAAAAAGTGGGCAGCCGAATAAAAGCAATCAGAACCGGTGTACCAGAATGCAAGGTTTTGCAAACTGAAACTGCAGATTCCTAGACTATAGTTTTTTACATACAAATGTATAAGGGAAAAAGGAACCACCAATATTTGGTGGAGGAGTTGAATTGAACATGACAATTTTACCAAAAATTCCCGAAATCGATGTGCCGTCTTCGTTTTGATTAATTTCTGTCAGCTTCATCTCAGATGTTCATCATGGAAAAAAATATGAATTATCTCAACCTGACTTCCCTTTTACCTATCAGATGATAGTCAGACTGCACTTCGGTAATCATGAACCTATTTCCATGTTAGACCCGTCTGGAACTCTCGCAAACCGTGTCAAACCACAACAGAGCGGATATGGTCTGTTGCAACAATTTTCATTTTAGGTCTTTTTCTCCACCCAGCATGTCGGTTTTCTAGTGGTTCAAGCATGTCCTCACCGATCGATATTTGGTTGCTAGGACAGACTTGACAGCTCGATCAATGAAATAGTAAATAAGTATCACGGACATAAGCAGCTTTGCTGTTGTCCGGTTCAATACCACATCTAACCTATCGGGGCTTCATGTGGTTCACCACTCCAAGTCCTGGGGCTTAGATTGCCGGTTTCCATCACTGAACAGCAGGTCCTCGTGACTATGGGGTTTATCCCGTTTGCTGTTCATCACACAGAAGTGTGTAGTAAAAAGATAGCACAGGTTTGTGTGTACCAACTAGTGTTCTGCTTTTGTAGGGTTAGATTCATCTGCACGAAATCCATTGATTTTGTTCCAGATTGTTCCATCAATCTGTTTGTCATGCTACCGAATGTCTTGTTAACCGTATTCCCCTTCTACTTTTTCCTCAAAGCTGAACACAATTGGTCGTCTTTTAGGAGTATTTCCTAATGTTATCCCATAGCTGTCGGTATTCATGAAATTGCATTTCTGTGTTATGCTTTCTACTTATTGCGCATGTTTCTGCTTTTCATCTTCCCCTTTTCCCTGTCTCTCTCTCGCTGTCTCACATTCACCAAAACCGCAACAGATGCATCCACAGAACGGTTCCTCAACTCCAGAGATTCAACCGATTCACAGTCTGCATCCACACAGTCCACACAACAACCAATGCGACGCAAACCCGTGAGCGGTACTCGGGCAGATAGTCCAGCGGTGGGTGGAGATTTATCCGGCTCGGCGGTCGCAACCGGTGGAACAACCGGTGATGGTACCACTGAGAACAAACCACTTGCCTCATCTGTAAATAAACCCGGGGAACGAACTGTGACCGATACAAATGGAAACGTGTCTCGCGCGAGTGCAGGTTCACGCCTGTCCGATCCCGGCAGATCGAGCAGTTTAGCTCGTGCTCGAAAGCGTGCACGGAATGACACGCGTCGTTTGGGCATGAAAAATTCAACCGCTCACACTGCCCTATTATCGTCCACAAACAATGGTATTCGTAGTATGGATGGGGATGATGATGCTGATGATGACGATGACCTCGGGCCGGAAGACGATGAGGATGATGATGATGACAGTGGTGCTATGCCCGGTGTTGCCAGTGGGCGTGCTTTGTCGAATCGCCCAGATTTTTCCGATCTTGACTCTCCGTTGGATGATTTGCACGCAGGTACGGATTTGGATACTCCCTATCGAGGCCGACAACGTCGCCAAACCTATCAAATGCCCCCGAGACGTCGTGATTCGTCTCTGGGTGGCTACGGACATAGCAGTTTCTACGGCGGTCCCGCGGGAGCAGGCACACTACCACGACGTCATCGTTTAGATGTGAGTCTGACGAGAGCGACCACAATAGGCGGTGGTGATGGCACATTGCGTTCCGCACAACGCCTGGCTCAGTCAATTCGTAGCGGTGTAATTCCACCTCCTCCATCGGAACCACCGCCTGCAACTCCGCTGTCCGGTTCACTTATGTCTGAACTTGGCGCGATTGGAGTTTCGGCCGGAGGTAGCGGTGCATCTGGACTGATCAATCCGTTTGCGTTGCAGTTGCACAACCAACAACAGCAGCAGCAACAACGACAAGCGGCTGCCTTGGCCGCAGCTGTGGCTGCCTCTGGTGGTGTACACCCTCAGTTGTTCTCTGCAGTCGGAGCCCAGGCTTCCGGCTTGAACAATCCATATCTTCTAGGTGGTGAGTTATTGTGCATATCTGCCAAAAATCATGGGATACACGTGATCGGAGATGAGGTACTTCATTGTAGGATTACTCTCGTTTTATGACTCCGCTTTCGCTTTTTAGGGTTATAAAAACATGGCGTATTGTTCCGACCTGAGTCTCAGGTTAGGTAACATTCTTAGCAGGACTTCCTCACTCACTTAGTGTATACTTAATCACCGTACAGGCACTCAATTGATCTATGAATCGCAATTAACGGACACGCCAACAGAGTGGTAAGGACGATACGATCAAACTGTGGTGCCCGCTCGTGACTGGACACACACGAAAATCGACATCCCCCCACCCCCACCCCGATTATCAAATCACCAGCATGACACTCCCACCCCCACGTCCGCGCTTTAAACGATGTTGACACCGACCAGTTTGGGTGACTCGTACACCAACCAATATAAACAAACGAGTTGAGCCGGAAAACATCGTTTCGATCGAAACTGTTGATAAAATGTTCGAAATCTAAACGACCAGCTCGGATAGATACAGTAATCCCGATTGGTGAACATCTGATTGATAACTTCGTAGAGAGAATGTACTTCCGCAGTTGATCAAATTAGTGCCTCAGTTTTCGAAGTATGCGATCTCACGCTAATTTTATCTCCTATCCCTCAATATGCTGTGTGTATTTCAGGTAATTTTTCTAGGTAAATTTTCTTTCCTCGCTTTCGACAAATATGGTTAATTGGCATAATCTGACCCTGAATGTAAGTGGTCGGAGAATTGGATGTGCAGTATTCAGTAAACTGACGATCTGCTTTAATTTCCTCTAGGATGCGCCATTTTCCGTCTACAATCAAGTTCTACTATCGACTAATCCACTCAGAAGTCCCCTACACAACAATTAACATGTTTAGCTTGCCTGATCCCTCCAGTTTGTTTATGACCCTACCAGAGC